CTTGTTCAACATCGTACTCGAGAAAATACTGAGGTACACAACAGTCAATACGCGAGAAACAATCATTAATGAAAGCGTGCAAATACTAGCATTTGTAGATGGTGTTGACATAATCGCAAGATAAAGAAGAGAAATGATAGTGAAAATAGTGGTCTTAAAATCAATCAGACCAAATCAAAATATAATGCAGGTAAGTAAAAACGCAGAAATAATGCAGCCACAAAATATAACAATAGGAGAATACAACAGTGAGGATGTAAAAAACTTTATATACTTAGGATCCCTAATCACGTCTGATAATAACGTTGCGGAGGAAGTAAAGAGGCGAATATTTACTGTCAATAAATGTTACGATGGCTTAATTAGGCAACTAAGATCAGATAACATCGCAAGAAAAACAAAATGCCAAATATACAAAACCCTAATAAGACCGGTACTCACCTACAGCTTAGAAACCTGGACACTAACTACAAGAGAGGAAACGTTAGCCACTTTCGAAAGAAAAATCTTGCGACACATATATAAGGGCACAAAAGAAAACGGAATTTGGCGAAGAAGATACAACTTTGAACTATACAAAATATACCAGTATCCGGATATTATAACATTCATTAAAATAGGACGGCTGCGTTGGATAGGTATGGGAAAGAATGGAAGAAGGCGAAATACCAAACAAAATATTCAAACAGATGCCAGTTCGAAAAAGGACCGAAAGAAAGAGGAAGACCGAACCTGAGATACTTAGAACAAATAGAAAATGATATAACAACTTTAAAAATAAAAAAACTGAAGGAAAAAAGCACGAAAACAGATCAGAATGGAGAAGAATCCTGGAACAGCCAAGACCCAAAAAGGGTTGTCGAGCCAGTGATGATGATGATTATGCGATCATGATCATCTTAGAGGTGTCAGGCATTGAATTTTTTTAGTAATAAATCAAAAACCAGTCAATAAAATTAGCTGGTAGTATTGTGTGAACCTGCAATTACAAATATCACTATATACGTACACACTAATATCCAGAAGGTTGCTGTTGAAATCACCGTTGTATTCCATGATCTGTAAAACCATTATTCATACCTATAACCAGCATTCTAGTAGTAATATATAAGGCGATGGATCATCGGTCACAAACGTCTACAAATTCCACGAGGTGTTTCTTCCAATAGATCTGGAAATTCAGTTTCCAGAAAATTGAAGATATTTTTATCATTTAATCTTAAGTAAAGATCATAGTCGTATATTAAATATTAATCCTCGGCTGTTTCTGTTGGCCTTTTGAGTTAATCAATTACCAGTAATACAAAAAAACTATGGTCTACAGCCAACCACTGGAATTTTCTCCTACTTTTTAATACAAAAAAACTTTCCTTTCATAGTTAATGCATCATCGATTGCTACATTGCTTTAATTTTTATTTTTATTCAGATATATACTGTCGTATGAATCCTCGTCTCACATAATCCAACAAATCAGAGCAAAAAGTGAATGGCTTCTTCTTAAAACGACAAAAACATTTATGAGAAAGTCATTGATGCCACCTTACCGAAAGCTCTCTCATACTGCGTTCTTTATGTCAAACGGACCGTCTCAGATGCCTACGGACGTACTTTTTCTCATTTTAACCGTCAGAACCATATTGTGTATTTTCATCGTTTTTCATAATTGAAGATTATCACGTTTTTTTTAATCATCTTCAATCAATGTTGTTGCAACATTTTGTTTATTTCAAATTTTTTTTTCCAACCTACTACTGATATGCTACTGAAATCCATGCGTTTTCAGTTTTAAATTTCATTTTGCTAACTCGCAAAAGTACAAATAAGAAATTGTAAATTGTATCCTTTGAACCGCGACGTAATTCGAAAACGTCCCAATTAGACAAGTTTCCAGTTTTCATAGCATTTTTAGACTACGAAAAAGCTTTCGATACCATAGAACACACGGCCGTAATAAACGCAATGCAAAATTGTAGAATAGAGAGCAGATATATTAACTTAATAAAAGAAACTATGAACCAAACTACAGCTACATACTACCTAAATGAAAATGAACACACGAACCCTGTACCATTAAACATTGGAGTCAAACAGGGAGAAACTTTATCACCCAAACTGTTCACCTTCATTTTGGAGGACGTTTTTAAAAACCTAAATTGGAAATATAAGGGAATAAACATCAATGGCCGCTATCTCCATTCATGCACTCCCAAGACACCGTAACAATAATAAATGATAAAGTTATAGAAAAAGTTGAAGAATATATATACTTAGGACAAAAAATAATACTAAATAGGGAAATTCAAACTGAAGAAATAAAAAGAAGAAGAAAGTTAGTTTGGGCAGCATTCGGTAAACTGAACTATATACTCAGAAATCAACAAATTCAATTACATCTTAGATATAAAGTTTTTGATGCATGCATTATTCCGATATTAACTTATGCGGTACAAACATGGACAATCACAAAAAAGATTATAAATATACTTAGAGTCACTCAACACGCGATGGAAAGAGCAATGCTAGGTATATCACTTAAGGACAAGAAAACAAACACATGGATAAGACAGAAAACCAAAGTCACCGATGTGGTGCAAAAATCATTAAAGTTGAAATGGGAATACGCTGGACATGTAGTTAGGAGCGATCTAAACAAATGGCACAGATCAATCTTAACCTGGAGACCATACCAACACAAAAGACCCAGAGGCAGACCTCCTATGAGATGGACAGATGATCTGAAAAGGACTGCCGGGAAAAATTGGGTACAAGTAGCGTACAATAAAAAAACAATGGAAAGGAAGACTTGAAGAGGCTTATGTACAGATGTGGACGTGAATGGCTAGACGAAGAAGAAGACTCTCTCCAATAAATTTTAGAACCCTTTTTTAAATTAATGGATTTCGATGGAAGTAGATAAAGTGGCCATCTGTCGATCTGGCAAGCCTCCAAAAGCAAGCAGGAGTGGGATGTGTCGTTACCACATACAATGAAATAATAAAATCATATTTTTTACCGAATTTATGCAGCGTATACACTGAAGAACTTTATGCGATACTAGAAGCTTTTAAAAAACTTAAAATAGATGATAAAAACCAAGCAATATGCACAGACACCCTGTCGTCACTACAATCGATAAAAAGTCTATACTATCAGCATCCCTTAGTTCAAGAAATCGATAGGACTTATAGTGCACTCGCTTTTCAAGGTGTAAATGTCACGATCATCTGGCTACCATCCTATATCCCTGGTAATGAAAAAGCAGACCAAGCAGCCAAGCAAGCTTCTTGTGTAAACAGTCAATCCTCAAAAGTCCAACATATTCAAATCCGTAATGACCTAAACCAAATTTTCAAGCAACAGCAGTATCATAACTTGCAAACCCATTGGAACGCAATTAAGAGTGCATTACATGAGATCCGGCAGACTGTTGAAAAATTTGAACTTCCAACAATCTCTAGAAACGAAAAAGCTGTCATCCGAAGATTAAGAATAGGACATACCCGATTCACACATGAATACTTAATGAAGTTCGAGCCGAAGCCCATTTGACAAATCTGCTCAAGTGTATTAACTGTGAAACACATCCTGATCGAGTGTCGCAAAACACAGAGTGCACCATAAACTTAAGTCAAATATCAAAGACGTTTTAAACTCACCCGATCAAGTCCTTAAATTAATTGGTTTCTTAAAAGACATTCAGTTGTTCAACAGAATATGACCCTTGTTTTCCATGTACTTTACCGTAACCTATCACTTAGTGATAAAAAATTTAATTAAAAATCCTTTGTAATAGGTATATTTTAGGCCCAAACGGGCTAAGTTAAAAAGACAAAACGTTTTCGGAAACCATGTTCCATCATCAGTGTCCTAGAAAATAGTTAACCACTTAATTAAAAAGAACATAGGTTAAAATTTTGACTAAGGTTAAAGAACAATGTGGTTAATACTTACTAGGAGTACATGAATGAAGCCACCAAGATTAAATATGTGGGTAAAAACCCGATTACATATGTTTACCCACATATTTTTTACCCACATATTTAATCTTGGTGGCTTCATTCATGTACTCCTAGTAAGTATTAACCACATTGTTCTTTAACCTTAGTCAAAATTTTAACCTATGTTCTTTTTAATTAAGTGGTTAACTATTTTCTAGGACACTGATGATGGAACATGGTTTCCGAAAACGTTTTGTCTTTTTAACTTAGCCCGTTTGGGCCTAAAATATACCTATTACAAAGGATTTTTAATTAAATTTTTAATACATGGTATACAGCCAACTACAGGAACGTAGATTCCTTGTGGATTAGTGATAAAACTGTTGCATTATTTAGTCATAGGTTCTAAGCTTATAGATTTAACTGTAGCAATTAGTAACATGTGCTTATTGTAATTACTGTAGACAATATTTTTGTGTCAATGGTCATTGCAGCCAAGACACATTAATTTAACTCAAGTAAAGATTAGATTTTTTGATTTATTGGATTTTTAATTATTAGCAGTAACCACTGATCATTGTATGTTGGAGAATTATATAATTGCATTTATTATTTTAGTAATTTAGTAACAATTATGTTGATTTTATTTATGAAAATGAATTTATTTATGAATAATTATGAATTAATCCGAAATCAACAATCTACAAAAATAAAGTGAGCAAATTACAATATGTATTTGTTTCACTTAAATTTAAAAAAAGTAGATTTGGCACCACCGCGGAAAACACCGTCCTGCAACAAAGCTCGTGCTTTCGGCCGAATGCGCTCGATCTCCTGCGACCGCCAGAAAACTTATGAAAGAAAATGTGGCCGAGATGCTGCGTTAGAACAGTAACCAAGTTGCGGTCTTCGCAAGTGGATTTCTAGTCTCGTACAGACGAACAGTAAAGAGCGCGAAGAGAGTGGTGTGAAGTGGATTGTTATTAGGGGATTGTTCTACATAGCTTCTTTTTTTAAATAATTTTTTTGGTTTTTCTTCATGTTCGTTCATTGAGGAAAAATGGAAAATAAAAATTTTGTCCCTGATAACGTAAGTTTTGATTTTTACAATTTTGAAAAAATATATAATTCACCAAAATAATAGAAATAAAAAATTGTAGTATGCTACTCAAAGTGATTATCAGCATTTTTAAGGACAAATTTAAAAATTGGTGTAGCGTTATAAATCTTTATTAACCTTTGAATTTTTTTCTATAAATTTATTTATTGGGAATGAACTACAAAATATTATCAAATAAATTCTTCATTATTGACATTTTAGCAACAATAATGCGAGCCATCTTCAGATTTTCAAATGATATGTTTAAAATGAATAAACTATTTTCTTTTATTTATTGGTCTACTACATTGGCAACTATTTATTTACTGCCCAATTATAATATAACATAAAATACAACACTACTTTTAATTTTCACAGAAATAGTCAACTTAACACGTTTTTCTAAAACATAAACTTCCAAAATATATTTTAAAATATTCCCTGTCACATTGATCCAAAGTGGCAGGGAAACTGATATTGGTTCCAGAGGCCAAATTGGTCCAATGAGACAAACACAAGTTTTGTACTAACAGGCTGTGTTTCTATAATGTACTGAGCACTTGGTGCTTATATAGTAGGTATCTACGGGACTGGACCAACTGGTAAAAACTATAGGCTCTATACAACATTTGTGCAATTTATGGAATCTGCCGATTATGGTTCATATTAGTAAAACACATGCATTCACAAATGGCAGATAATACTTATTAAAATATAAGATTGTGTTTATACACAACAAAACACAACTAATAAAAACGTTATTTGTATACATACAAAATGTTGCTTGTCACAGGGGTCTACCTTTTTTAGTTTTGTTCATAGCATACTGACGGCTGTGTTTCTCACTATTTTTTTCTAACAATTCTGGCATATCGTTTTTCGTTGTCCAGTTTATTAATACCAAGCTTTCGGTCAAGCTGATGGTGATTGTTTGGCACTTTTCGTAGTTTGGTTGTGCTTTTATTGTAAATAACTAGATGTTTCACTATCTTTTTTTTTAACCATGTTGTTTATTACAGAATTTATAATTATAAATTGATGTAATTAGAACCAGTTCAAATCACACGTTTTTAAACTAATTAACGCCTTTCCTAAGAGTATCGAAGTAAGCTCCTATTTGATTGGACAATGTTTCAAGACACTTCGACCATTTCATTACCGTGTTAAGTAGAAAATATTTACATATTTCTTTTGTGTTTCCAGATCGTAATAGTAGCTCCATCCTCGTTTTCCCTTAGAGCCACATTCTTGTTCCAATCAATTTTGTATCGGTGGTCATCATTGTCTGCGCTAGTGGTAAACTTGTATACCAAATGTCAGTTATAAGCGTGCTTGATGTACTAAATGCCCCATTAGATACAGTACAACGCTTTTTGAAGTCACGTTAGACACTCTTCACTTTTCTTCAATAATCTTCTATACATATAGAGATCAGTTTAAAACGTTTTCCTACGTCTTCCTTTTTTTTCTACCCTGAGGGGTCCACATTAAGATTTGTTTTGGGAGACATTCTCTGTACATGACCGTACCGTCTGACTTGTTGAGTACCAATATCGTCTACTATTGTATGTTTTACATTCATAATTTCTCTTATTCTGTTGTTCATTACTCTTTCTAGTCTAGATTTTCCAGCTGAACGTCTCCAGAAATCAATTTCTTTGCCTCAAGTTTTCTCTTGTATTTTATTTGTCATACTATTGTAGGTAATTATATAATGATTGCAGTATATATCTTGTGCTTGTTATTATTAGAGATTTGTTGATCCCAAAGATACTATTAAGAAGGAAAATTGCTTTTCTTGCTTGTGATTTCCAACCTTTACATTTGAATTAGCATTAGCGTACAGTTCCTTCGTCACATTTATTAAATGCTTATGTTTGTTTTCTCTAACGCTTTCCATAATTTATAATGTGGAACGCTATCATAAGCCTTTCGTAGATCTACATACAATAAATGTACTTCTTGATTAACGGCTATTTTCTTTTCAATAATCTATGTAATGCAAAACAAATGGTCAACAGTAGAGCTACCTGCCCTAAATCCTGCCTGTTCCTTAGCCTCTATAAAGTCTTTATATTCGCTTTCTATTCTGTTTTTAATTATTTTTTCATATATTCTATTAACAGAGTTTGTCACGGCTTTAATTATCTTCTTTCAGAACATAATTTTAATATTTTTATGCAATGTTTTTTTAATTTATTGTACTGTTTAACGCTAAGCTCCCCTAAAGGATAATGGGGTGTCATTGATGAAGACTTAACATTTGCAGTTCAAATTTCTACATGGTTTCACAGTTCTTTGACACTAAACCCATCTAGGCAACGAGTCATTTTCCAATTTCGGTATTTGTCGTTGCATAGATTGGTGTTGTGTCTGTAGCCACTAGAGTTACATACTTTTGTTTGGTTATAAATTAGACTAATGACAATGACTCTATCATCAATTACTACATCAAAGAAATGTCTTGGTTTGCCATATGTCAACATTCCCAGTTTCCATGATTATTAAATTAACAAATACTTGTATTGAATCACTGGATCTCAAAGATGTTGGGAATCTAAGTTCGATTCTGGATTCTGGATCTTGAACATCACGACTATCTTGTGAATATAATTTTATCTTTCTCCTCTTTATAAAGCTTCGAATAGCTTCCTTAGTCTATGAATTAGACGAGTCTGATTCTCTTGCTGAGCTATATCCATATTTGCCATCAGAAACTTCAAATTGTTCATACTCCTCTCCAAAACATTTAGACATCTAAAACCACGCAATATATTGTAAAAATATGTATTCTTACACCCTGTTTGAAACGTCTTCACGATTTTGGTTGAGTCAAGAATAGTTTCCCAGAAACTGCTATTTACAGCTAAAATCCAATAAATCACCGAGTCTTGAATTTAAACTTTGATAATTTTCAAAAAATAATTTTTTGACAAATAGGATGACAAAAATCAAAATTCTCTTGTTTTGCACATTTTTCAGAAATATTATAAGCACAAGTTCAGTGACGCAGAGTCAGTAACCCAACATATGTTAATTACCGCTCACTTTTAAATTAGCATTATGTGTTTTATTGATTTTTTGCGTGTTCTATCGCAGAATGCGAATTGACGTTATAATAGTTTACAGCTATTACAAATTACCTCATCTACTGTTTATCTTGTGGCAATAACTTAAGGGGAATGATAACATCCGATAGAAAAACCTGCAGCAAACTATTAATGGGCATGTGGGATTTTTATACCGACATTAAATAAATATTATCTAAAAATCAAATGACAAGTGGCTGTCAAATGACGTTGACATTCTAATTTGCTGCATTATTGTTTCTAAAACTGTATTTTTATAGTTTTATATAATTTTTACTGTTAAACTATATACAAAACATATTGCAATATGTTGAGGACGGTTTTTGTTTTATATTAGGCATCGTAATGCACACAGAAAAAGAAACATCGGAGTCGTTTTTAATTCCAGGAATAGGTTACAAATAGGCAACGGCCCCGATTTGGGGAGTAGTATTTTAATATTTGTATCTTGCTAACTTGCTAACTAAAAGCTTGTGGTCCAGATGATACACCAACTGAGTTGCTGAAACTAATAGAGAATGATATCATAAAAGTAGTAGTAAGACTTTTTATTTCAATATGTAACACCGGAGTGATTCCCACAGATTGTCTCAAATCCATCTTTGTCACAATACTTAAAAAACACTATGCGAGAAAATGCTCAGAATATCGATTAATTAGCCTAATGAACCACACTCTTAAAATTTTCCTAGGAATACTCCACAACAGAATTAGACGCAAATACAAATGCAAAGAAGATCTCGAAGGGAGGCACTTTTTGTGCTTACATCCTATTACAATAATGCCGTGATCAAAGAAAAGGTGTCTTTGCATGTTTCGTGGATTTCGAAGATGCATTCGATAAAGTACAGCATGTAAAATTAATGCAAATACTGAAAAATATAGGAATAGATGATAAGAACATTCGTGTCATTAAAAATTTGTACTGGAATTAAACTTCTATCGTTAAGATTGAATATAACTACAGCGATTAAATCTCCATACAACGAGGAGTCAGACAAGGTAGCATTTTGTCGCCAACATTGTTCAATGTTTACTCAGACCAGTTATTTAAAAAGGCACTTGAGAGACAACCATATGGTATAAAAATCAACGGGTAACTACTTAATGTGATTAGATATGCAGACGATATAGTAACTCTGTCAGATAATATTAAAGGTGTCCAAATTCTGCTTGATCATATTCACGAGGTAGGAGAGGAAATGGGCATAAAAAAAACTCAAACAAAATCAAATTTTCAATCAAATCAAATCAAAATCAGACATAGAAATAAAACTAAGACAAAGAATGGTTAAGTGTTATATTTGGTCCGTACTGTTGTATAGTGAAGAAGTGTAGATGATGCTTAAAGTATCGATCATGAACAAAATTGAAGCATTGGAAATGTGGGTTTATAGATGAATGCTGAAGATACCTTGAACAGTAAGTAAAACTAATGAATAACTACTAAGGAGCGTCAACATAGATATAGAACTGCTAAAGACTGTTAAACATCGAAAAATTTCTTATCTGGGACATATAGTAAAAGGAAGTCGATATAATATATTACAACTGATCCTTAAAGGCAAAATAGAAGGCCGTAGAGGTGTAGGAAGGAAGAGGGTTTCTTGGTTGAGCAATATTCGTGAATGGACTTGGATATCAAATGCGGGACAATTATTCCATATTGCAGAAGATAGAGAAGCCCCAGAAGAAAAGATTGATGGTAAGGTTGCTAGCCTCACGCATCATTGTTTGAATTCCGTTCAATTTTATTGATTAATTTCCTCCACTCTTCTTATCTTCCTTACAATATTATTTACTACGTTCCATGTTATATTAACTTGTTTAAGATTGTTTTTTATTATTCTCTTCCATAGTAGGCTATAGCATAAGGCTTGTCTGGCTATATTTAATCGGGGG